ACTACTACTACTACTACTACTACTTCTACGACTACTACTACTACTACGACTACTACTACCACTACTACTACTACTACTGCTACTATTACGACGACGACGACTACAATTACTACTACTACTACTACTACTACGACTACTACTACTACTACTACTACTGCTACTACTACTACTACTGCTACTACTACTACTACTGTTACGACCACGAATATTATTACTACTACTACTACCACGGCTACCACTACTACGACTACTACTACTACTACTACTACTGCTACTACTACGACTATTACTACTACTACTACTACTACGACTACTACTACTACTACTACTACTACTACTACTACTACTACTAACTACTACGAGCACTACGACTACTACTACCACCACTACTACTACTACTACTACGACTACTACTACTACTACTACTACTACTACTACTACTACTACTACGACTACTACTACTACTACTACTAATACTACTACTACTACTACTACTACTACTACTACTACTACTACCACTACTACTACTTCTACTACTACGACGACGACGACGACGACTACTACTACTACTACTACTACTACTACTACTGCTCCCCTCCTCCCCCCAATTCTCCCCCTTGCGGCGCTGTGCAAGCATGTGCGGCCGCACGTGGCCGTACACCCCCTCCCGGCCACGAGCGGCGCCATGTTCGGGCTTGCGCGGTCGTCCGCTGCGGGGTGTGCGGCCATGTGCGGAAGTGCGGAGCGGGGGCAGGTGGACATGTGCGGCCTGCTGTGCGGATCTGTGTGGCCATGTGCGGCCGCGCGCGGCCCTGTGTAGCCGCGCGGCCACGAACGGTGCCATGTGCGGGCATGTGCGGTGCCATGTGCGGGCATGCGCGGTCAGCGCCAGGGCAAACAGCTGCGGTGTGTGGGCACCTAATGTATCGCACGATGTATGTAGCGCTGCTCATACATACTGCGCAAAAAAGGTTCCCGCGAACGCCACGCACATGCGCGTACGGTCGCAGACAACGCTCAAGGGCGGGGGCCGATACAGAACAATGGTGGAACAACAACTCAGAGCACATGCCCCCGCACATGGCTGCACATGTGCACACGCCACTAGATCATAACGCTCCGATCTCAAAACGTCCGCCCAAGGAACGGCACTAAGACTGCGAATCCTGTGCAACTGCTGCAAGAAGCGAACAAGGCCTAGCTTGCCCGCCAGCTTCCCCATATCCTGCCTGCACCTGTCCGCCCCCAGCGACAGCTTCACAGGTCGCAGCCCTCCAGGGATGGCGATGTCTAATATGAGTCTGCGTAGCGCGCCACTCCGCTGGACCATCCAGCTGCCCTCAAACGTGGCGGCAGCTTGACAGTTCGCAGCCTCACAAAGATGCCGAGGTCTAATCTGAGTCTGCGCAGCGCGTTCCTCCGCTGGATCCCCTGAAGCAGCCCTCCAAAGTGGCGACAGTTCCACAGGTCGCAGCACTCCAAGGATGACAAGGTTGATCTGAGTCTGCGTAGCGCGTCACCCCGCTGGATCCTCAAGCAGGCCTCGAAAGTGGCGACAGCTCACAGTTCGCAGCCCCCCAGGGATGGCGAGGTCTAATCTGAGTCTTCGTAGCGCGTCACTCCGCTGGACCCTCCTGCAGCCTTCGAAAGTGCAGACAGCTTGACATTCCGCAGCCTCCCAAGGGCGGCGAGGTCTAATTTGACTTTGACTAGCGCGTCACTCCGCTGGATCCTCGAGCAACCCTCCAAAGTGGCGACAGTTTCACATGCCGCAGCTCCCCACGGATGCGTAGTGCGTCCCTCCGCTGGATTCTCCAGCAGCCCTCGAAAGTGGTGACAGCTTTAAAGCTCGCACCCCCCAAGGGATGGCGAGGTCAAATCTGAATATGCGTAGCGCGTCACTCCGCTGGACCCTCCAGCAGCCCTCGAAAGTGGCGACAGCTTCGCTGTTCGCAGCCCACCAAGGATGGCAAGGTCTAATCTGAGTCTTCGTAGCGCGTCACTCCGCTGGACCCTCCAGCAGCCCTTGAAAGTGACGTCAGTTTTACGGTTCCCAGCCCCCCAGGGATGGCGAGGTAGGGGACAGGCCAGCAGACAGGTAGGAGACAGGTAGAAAGGAGGAAGGGCGGAGACATGTAGGAGGCAGGACAGCGCGATAAGAGGCAGGAGGAGAGAGGAGGAGAGAGGAGGAGGAGGAGGAGGAGGAGGAGGAGGAGGAGGAGGAGGAGGGGGAGGAGGAGGAGGAGGAGGAGGAGGAGGAGGAGGAGGAGGAGGAGGAGAGAGGAGGAGGAGGAGGAGGAAGGAGGCGGAGGAAGGTTGGAGACCCCAGTGCTCAGGAGGGTTGGAACACATGTCGAACAGCCACTGTTTTTGTCCAAGGATTTTGCCTTTTCTGCATTCTAGGAAGTCCTCTCGAAAAAACCAAACAAGACATTGACACACGCCTCTTCTGACATCTCGTTGCTTCGAGAATGTCTCCGGCGAACGCCTCATTCTCGAGGATCCGACGATCCGGCCAGCGATGTCAACGTCCCCATTGCCTGACGATGTCTCGGGCGAAACGCTCACGTATAACAAGACACGTCGTCAACGATCACCTCCAACATCGCGTTTGGGTGAACCGCTTACTGTCGTCATCCGACTGCAGCGGACGCAGGAGCAACCTCGAGCCGTTGCCCTCCTGGACCTCCCCAAAGGGCAGGTGTTTCCTTCCGGCCCCGGAGGCGAAGTCCACCGCGCGACTCTTCGAGTCTAAGCGCGCCCCCCGTCATGCGACCGCAACCGATCGGGGAGCGCTCCCGAGCCGTTCCCCTGCTGGACTTTCCCAATTAGTTAGGGGGCAAACAAACCTAGCTCGCTTTTGACCACCCTCGCTTCCAAGAGATACCAAGCGATGCCAAACTACGGCCTGTACTGGTCAGGCCGCTTGACGAGGAGGCGCGTGGTATGACTTGGTTTTGCCTGAAAGCGAAAGCGGGGTAGGTAATTCACGCTCTGATTAGTGCAAGTATTTCCCTCTGCGCCAGTAGACGACGTCCATCGCGCGACTCTTCGAGTCTAAGCGCGCCTCCTGTTATCCGACAATGACCGATCGGGCGATCGGGCAGCGATCCCGAGCCGCTCCCCTCCTGAACCTCCTCAGTTGGTAGAAGTATTTCCCCCTGGGCCAGAAGACGCCGTCCATCGTCCCTCGCGCGACTCTTCGAGTCAAAGCGCGCGTCCCGTAACTTGCGCCAGTCTAGATTTCCAATTCCCAATGTCATTCTCATAGTTTTTGCTTCCTACCGTCAGTTGTTACTGTCCGCGCAAGGAGTGGGGGTGGGTGGGGGTGGGGGGGGGGGAGGGGGAGGGGGGGGGGGGGGGGGGGGGGGGCGAAAACCACCCTGGCCGTCACCGCCACCCTGGGGTTTTCAGAATTTCCCGCGGGTCCCAGGACATGTGCAAATACCCCAGATTCGCGCTCCCGAGGCCATAAGCCCTCGCGGAGTATACCACATTCGCTCCCCCGAGGCCACAACCTCCTGCAAATTACACCACATTCGCGCCCCCGAGGCGACGATCCTTTGTAACTTGTCTCTGATTCGCGCCTCCGGGGCTACGATCTCTTGTTAAGTACGATGCGTTCGCGCTCCAGAAGAAAAAACGGCAAACTGAACGACAACAGAAACGACTGGGACCGACGGGGGGAGAGTGACCGGAATAAGGGCGCAACGAAAAGAAAAAAGGACGATCGCCGAATTCGTCCATCTGGCCGTCCCCTCTGCCTCGCCACCGCTCCCTCTGCACCGCCCTGTGCATCGCCCTCCAGCCCTCCCCTCGTCGCTTCGCCCCTCCCTCCCACAATAGATTCCTTTCCTTGCCCCTCACCTCCTCTGCTCATCCCCTTTCGCCTCGGCCTTCCCCCCCTGCCCTTTTTCGAAGCAAGAGGGTCGGCGGCGAGCGAGGGAGGCAAGAGTGAGAAGGAGGAGGCCCTCTCAGAGAAGGCGGCGGGACTCCTCAGAAAGCCCTCAAGGCCTGCCGAGAGGCTCTCTCCGTGTCTGCTGGGAAGGCCTCGGCAACTCTTCAGAAGGCTGGAGGACTCCCGAGCCCTCCGAGAAAGACTTCTCCTTCTCGCTTCCCCCCACCGCGCTCGCCGCCGAGTCCAGCTTCCTGGTGCATCGATGCCCTCTGCGGAAATCCGCCGACCCCGTTGAGGCGTGTGAAATGATCCCCCCTGTATCCCCCCCTGGCTGGGGAGGGCTCGTCGCCGAGAGGAGGATCGGGGGCGCGCAAACATGGATTAGCGATCCATGGATCTGGCGCGCGCTCGCCAAATCCATGGATCGGAGGAGGTGCCTTCCCCAAAATGCGGCTGGTGCCGCCTCGTTCGGCGGCGGAAATGCGCGATTCCCCAGGGAAACGGGACCCGTCGCTAATCCACGCCAACTTGATCCATGTTTGCGATCGCCCGAGAGAGGAGGAGGAAGAGGAGGAGGCGCCGCGCACCCGGCTGCCACTCCGCGGCCCGCTGCCCCCGGGCCGCCTGCGTCTGCAGGACGCAGGTGCCGCCGCCGCGGAAGAGCGGAGCTCCGCTGTCGCCGAGGTTGGATCCCCCCCATATCCCCCCCCCCTGGCCAGGGAGGGCTCGCCGCCGAGAGGAGGAGGAACCGCGCACCCAGCTGCCGAGAGGAGGAGGAGGAGGAGGAGGAGGAGGAGGAGGAGGAGAAGGAGGAGGAGGAGGAGGAGGAAAGCGAAGGAGGAGGAGGAGGAGGAGGAGGAGGAGGAGGAGGAGGAAGCGAAGGAGGAGGAGGAGGAGGAGGAGGAGAGGGAGGAGAGGAGGAGGAGGAGGAGGCGAGGAGGAGGAGGAGGAGGAAAGCGAAGGAGGAGGAGGAGGAGGAGGAGGAGGAGGAGGAGGAGGAGGAGGAGGAGGAGGAGGAGGAGGAGGAGGAGGAGGAGGAGGGAGGAGGGGGAGCCGCGCACCCGGCTGCCACTCCGCGGCCCCGCCCCCCCCCCGAGGCCGCCTGCGTCTGCAGGACGACGCGGGCGCCGCCGCCGCGGAGGAGCAGGACGCCGCTGTCGCCGAGGTTGGCCACGGTCAGCCTCCGCGCGCTTCGGGAGGAGAGAAGGAGGAGGAGGAGGAGGAGGAGGAGGAGGAGGAGGAGGAGGAGGAGCAGCGGGAGGAAAGGATTGCGAGAGAGAAGCGAGAGTCGTCGTCGTCGTCGTCGTCGTCGTCGTCGTCGTCGTCGTCGTCGTCGTCGTCGTCGTCGTCGTCGTCGTCGTCGTCCTCGTCTTCGTCGGAGAGTGAGAGCGAGAAAGGTCCTGACACGTCGAGAGCGAGAGGGCAGTGCAAAGAGAGACAGAGAGACGCAATAAAAGAGAATGAGAGAGAGAGGGAGAAACAAGATACACATATTATATATACACACACAAATCCATCAGGAGAGATGGGGTTGAGAAAGAAGGGAGAAAACGGAAGGCGCATGGCGAATGACGGACGGCGGAATGCAGCGGACAGATGGCGGCGAAGAACGGACAGCGGCGCGTGGACAGCGAGAGGCGAGAACCACCGACAGGCCCCGCCACGGCGAGGACGATGCCGGAGAAGGGGGCAATGGGGGAACACGGGGGACATAGAGCAAGCCTGCGAATGCATCAGCGATGCTGTAATGCACCTTCCCGCCACATGTCCCTGACTCGTGCGCTACACCTCCTCCTCCTCCTCCTCCTCCTCCTCCGCTGTCCTCCTCCTCCTCGTCCTCGTTCTCCTCCTCCTCCTCCTTCGCTTTCCTCCTCCTCCTCGTCCTCGTCCTCCTCCTCCTCCTTCTCCTTCGCTTTCCTCTTGCAGGCGTTCCCGCTCATGCAGGAGCTACCCCCTTTGAACGACGAGCGCCGCGCGGGCCTCTGCCGCTCGGGCGGGTCCACTTTCGACAAGGAGCTGCCCAGAGAAAAGCGAGAAAGTATGGTCACACTCTCCACTCGACTTGTGGATGTCATGACAATGGACACTTTAACAATCCTATCATTGAATTAAAGATGCGTTTGACATGTGTACAATATGTTATACATAAACATGTTTCAAACATGCTTTTACGTATTGAAAAATATTGGACACATGTTTTAGACATCTGGCAAGTATTTGGCTGCACGTGTCCTCTCCATAAGTCGACTTACACAACACTCGACGATCTCGAACGCGGTAAAACGAAGTGTCGGCTCAAGCGGTTCGGGAGTGTTTCGGTCACTGGCCGCCCGACGAAGCAGCGAAAACAACATCGGTTTGCAGATGTTTCCCCTTTGCCCTCCCTTATTCTAAATATGTTTCTCTCTCTTTCTCTCTCTCTGTCTCTCTCTCTCCCTCCCACTCTGTTTCCCTCTCTCAGGTGCAGCAGCGGGGCGGCCGCAACAACAGTACGGGCAGAGGGGCGGCAGCAATGACATATCAGCAGCAGCAGAAGCAGCAAGCAGCAGGCAGCAACAGTCCGCAGACACAACGGGAGCAGCACAAGCAACAACAGCAGCAACACCAGCAGAGTCATGAGCAGAGCACACAGCAGCAAGAGCAGCAGCAACAGCGGCAGCAGCATCAATGGCAGCAGAAATACCAGCAACGTTAGCAGCACGCTTGAGCAGAAATGATAGCTGAAGCAACATCACGGGCCACTGGGGCTTGTCCCCCGAATCCGACGACCGGTGCCCCTAGAAACGGGGAGGATGTGTTACCCATCGCATTAACACCCGACCTCCACGCGGCAGCACCAGACAGAGGCAGCGGCTACAAGCAGGAGGCCGAATCCGACGCAATGGAACGCATCAAAAACTACTCAATCGAAAACGCAGCAAGCAAGGGTAAGGAGAGCGAGTGCCATGGGAAAAAGGCCGTGGTCCTGATCTGGTCGTCGCATCACAGCATCGTATGGCTCTCGCCCAGGGTTTAAGGCGGGACAGCGCCGTCGTGCCCGCCACCGAAGTAGCCGCTCGGCAGGCCCACAGAAGCCTTGCCAAGCGGCGGCCACGTTGGCTGTGGTGACTGCTGGCAACTGCACCACGGGGCGCTCTGCGGATTCGTCTGCGGGCGCAGCCAACGCAGTCTCGGGGTCAAACTGCTCGATGCCCTCCACGCCGAACTCCTCGACGCAGCCCGTCGCAACAACACCGATAGCCCCTGATATGGCCCACTGGGCCGCGGCCCCGACGGCGCCCAGTGACCGGCCGCGAAACTTGACAATCGCGTTAGCGGCCAACGAACTCACGCGGCATGCGTCGTGCTGTTGGAACCAATGCTCGCCAAACCGCAGAGCTCCCCCCTGCCAACTGCTACCCTCGCGCGGTCACCGTTGCCCAAACCTGGTATCCCTTCTGAATTCGCGGTCCCGAAACGCATCACATCACGAGGCGACGATTCGAGCATTGTGCGGCACGCGCTTCGCGACGAAGGCGCCGATTTAGGACCCCCCGGGGGAAAACCACCCTGGGTTGACAAAGAGGGCCAACCTCCCGCGCGGCCAGCCGCGACGTGGGCGCTGCCGTTGGGCCCTGCCCGCGGCGTACTCTCGATGCCGAAGTGGGTATAAACCCACTTCGGCATCGAAAGCAACGACGGCGCCACCGCCGACGCTGGATGCACGTCGTGCGGGGGCTCCGCCACCCAGAGATCCCCCCCCCAAGCACTCCAAGGCGCGGCCATTGCGCCAGGTGCTGCGCCAATCCCAGGCCTCGGCACAACAGGCGCGCCGCCATCGACCTGCTGCTTCGCGGACGCACAGAAGTCCTTGCGTGATCGACGCCAACGGCGCGGCTCTGAACAGGGCGAGAAGGAGGAGAAGGAGGAAGAGGAGGAAGAGGAGGAGAAGCAGGAGGATTAGGAGGAGAAGGCGGGGGAGGAGGAGGAGGAGGAGGAGGAGGAGGAGGAGGAGGAGGAGAGGAGGAGGAGGAGGAGGAGGAGGAGGAGGAGGAGGAGGAGGAAAGGAGGAGGAGGAGGAGGAGGAGGAGGAGGAGAGGAGGAGGAGGAGGAGGAGGAGGAGAGGAGGGGCAGGAGGGAGATAGGAGGAAAAGGAGGTCCACTTGTTCGTGGCCAACCTCGCCGCGGTGGGACTCCAGCTGAGCGCCGGCCCGGGCATGTGCGAAGTGGCCCCCGCTCGCGGAGACGCCTCCGACGTGTCTCTGGGCGGCTTCCCGCCAGGCTTCCGCCCCCGCACCAATCGCAGCTTCGAGCTGCTCGGCGCGCCAATGGGAGAAGCGGACATTTGCGCGGAACACACCGCGCAGCGGATCACGTGCGCCACCGCGCTGCTGGATGCTCTGGGGGAGCTCGAGAACGCGCAGGTCGCACGTTGCACGTGCGCCTCCTTCTGCAAGCTGGGCTACTCCGCGCGCGTGGTGCCGCCCACCGCGCGCGCGCCGCATCCCTGCTGGCCATGGGCGACTCTGTTCGGGCCTGATTTGAGCAATTGAATGGCCGCTCGCCCTCCGGCGTCCCCTGGCGGCAGGCTCAGCTCAAGCTCAACAAGGAAGGACTTGGCCTGCGATGTGCCGCAGAGTACGGACATCGCTTCCAGAGCGAAGGGCGCCGACTTTGGCAGCTCTACCCTGGCCACTTCAACAGCGCTGACCGCGACGGTGGTAGCCTGGCGGCTGCGGCGCAGGCCGAAGACTCAATCGCGCAGGACGCTGACCGGGTGGTGTTCGACCGCGCGCAGCACGGCAACCAGAAGGCCCTCTCCGACGCGGAGGACAGCGCCGCGCTTGGCGGGCTCCTGGCGGGCGCCACCCTGGCCAGCAGGGCGCGCCTCTCCCTGGCGCAAGCCCTGGGCGCTGCCGCGTGGCTCCTGGCGCCGCCCTGCGAGGCCGCCGGCGCCGCATGCCCGCGCGGCCTCATTCGGCCTGCAGAGGCGGTCGCGAGTCCAGCTCATGCAGGGGGGGTGTCTCTGCCCGGCCTGCGGCGAGGTGATGGGCGTCTTCTGCGACCGCGCCATGGTCTGCGCCTGCCGCGGCGCCCAGACCAAACGCCACGCCGCCCCGCGCACGGGGATGCCTTGGGGGCGAGCAAGGCAGGTCCCATGTGGGCGACAAAGGCCGCCGCCTTGCCGACGCCCACCTGCCGCGGTGACGCAACGGCACGGCGGTAACCTGGGACTTCACCGCCAAGTCAGGGTTGCGCGCCAATGTCCTCGCCGCGACGGCCGTTTCGTCAAGCGCGGCGACGGAGCGGCACTAGGAGTTCAAAAGGCAGCGCCAAGACACCGCGCGGCTGCGCGCTGCACAAGGCTTCACCACCACCCCCATGCCAGTGGAAGTCCGCGGCGGCGGGCGGGGCTGCGAGGCGCGAAAGGCCTTCTTCGGAGTCCCGACCAAGCGGGCGGCTAACGCTACGGGGGAGGACGCCGCTCTGGTTGCGGACCAACGCGCCCAGCGACCGCCCGTCTCCCTGCACAGGGAGAACGCGCGGGCGGTGTTGCGGCGCCTCCAGACGCAGTCTGGAGGAGCGGGGGTGGCAGCGGCCCGCCTGGCCGCGGCCACGGCTGCCTCCGAGGTGGACGCCGCGCGAGGTGCCCCAGGCGAAGCCAATCGCCCCCCGTCAGCCCCCCCACCCATGCTGGGCAGCACGGGCGCCCCCCGCGCCCTTTCGCCAGCGTCGCGCTGGCGACGCCTCACACGCGCCGTCCAACCCTTCCTCGGCGGAGCGGTGGATGGATCCCGCAGAGGGCAACCCCCACCAAGCCGCAGCGCGCTGGGTTCGGTCGGCCACCCCGCCGGGGTCGCCGCCGTAGGGTCCGTAGCCTGGTCGCGGGTGGCTCTTCTCTCCCGGCCCCTGGCCCGGCCTGCCTGCTTGCGGTCGGTTCCCCTCCCTTCCTCCTTGTCCTCCACCTCCTCCTCCTCCTCCTCCTCCTCCTCCTCCTCCTCCTCCTCCTCCCTACCATTCTGCTCGTTGCTTCCCTCCCTTTCCTTTCCTCCTGCTCCCTGCGTGCTGCCTCCGCCTGGCCCCTCTTCTGCCTGCCCGCCAGCCCCACCAGCCCTGGCCTCCCTCCTGCGCGTTCGTCGTCGTCTGCCTGCTTCTCCCCTCGGGGACGTACTGACCCAGGCCAGTGCAAACCCGGGTCAGTCATGCCTTGCAAGATCCTGCAGATTCCTGCAAGATCCTGCGCCCAAGCCCAGATCAGTGCGCTTATGGTCGCGTAGGATCCTGCAAGATCCGGCGCTCTGGCCGACCCCCCCGTTTGCATCGACCCCCACATCCTGAGCCCCGATCCCCTCCTCGTCCCCTTCCGCCGGGCAGCTCGGCCTGCCCAGGACCAGCGTGGCGGCATGTAGGGCTTCGGTCGGAGGGCCTGTAGCAATGCTCAAGAGCCCATGCTGCCGTTGCTGCACCGTCGACGAAATATCTAGAACTCCGCCCTCTGCGAGAAGGCATTTTCCACTCGTCCTCATGGCTACCGTGCTCCGAAGTAGGCGTGGTGTGAACCAGCGCTACGTTGCACGCGGATCCTCCCTCAGTGGTTTGGTGCTCGCAGCGTCCTCGGGGGTGCCGATGACATGGTCACCGAGTGATCCATCTGCATCTTGTCCAGCGTGTGCTGCCGCATGCGTCTCGTCACCCAACATGAACTCGATGATGCGAGCGTCCTTCCACTGCTCGCCGATGGGCCACTGCTCGCCGATTCGCCGATGGGCGCGTAGGTGTCGAACTTGGCGCCGTCGAGGTGAATCTGTTGGATGTCACCTGGACTCTGAAGGGGCAGCCATCTGACGAGGCCGTGGGTGCAGCCTGGCCATTCGCCCGCGGATTTCTGGCCGCGTAGTAGACGCATGGCACGAAAGTCTGGCAGCTGAAAGCGTCTGCGGGAAACGCGGCGCAAAGCTTCGAGGACGTGTTGGCGTTGCCGCGTCTGCGCCGTGATCTGCACGCCCCGCGCGTCTTCCCAATAGCCGAAGGTCCTGGTGCTGGAGCCTCCCAGGAAGTCCTCCACTCCGTCCCAGACCAGGCCAGCTCTCGCCAAGCCGGTGCCCACGTCACTGAAAACGGCACCGATGACGGGCGTGAATCCCTGCAATCTGCATACCACGTCGGCCCGGCGGTACTGAACCGCCGCCCTGCTTGCCTCGAGCCGGGTCGACAGGCATGACAATCCCAGGGCCCGCCGAGCCTGACGCGTCCTGCGTGCTCGGAGGCCTGCGGATCCCCACCCAATCGCCAACGTTGAAGCGACCCTCTCGGGAATGTGTTGTCTCGACGCGCAGCTCCTCTACGAACTGGAGTGCGGGCTGGTCCAGACTGTTGTTGTCGCGGTCCAGCGTGGTCTCGGGCGCCAGTGGAGCCAGCAGGCCAAGACTGTCGCAGCGCTTGTTGGCATCGTTCTTTGTCGGGTCGATGTCATCGCTCTTGTCCTCGGCGAGCAAGGTCGAAAACAGGCTGGTACGGCCACGTCCACTGCGGCAAATGCTGCGGTCGTGGAAGGAGGCATCGTCCGTGACGCCGTTCATGGAGACGTCGGTGCGCGACATGGTGACGGAGCCGAAGGGAAGGCCGTCTGCAAGATCACAGCGCCGTAGAGCAAAGCCAGGGGCAGCTGCTTGGTAGATCTATGGAGGCGACGCGCAGCGTCGCAACCCAGCGACAAGAGGAGCTCAACCGTCGCGCAAAGCGTGGATATGGAGACCACAAGGGCGCAGCGTGGGTGCCAGATCACCCCTAAGTGGTGCTGGAAATTGTTGGGGACGTTCCGCGGCTCGGTGGTCTCCATGTGGCCACAAGGCGACATGGAAACTTGAGCCAAAATGGCTACGGTGGAGGAGGAAGAGGAGGGGGAGGAGAAGGAGGAGAAGGAGGAGGAGGAGGAGGAGGGAGAAAGGAGGAGAAAGGAGGAGGAGGAGGAGGGAGAAAGGAGGAGGAGGAGGAGGAGGAGGGAGGAGGAGGAGAAGAAGGAGGGGGGGAGAAGGAGAAGAAAGGAGGAGGAGGAGGAGGAGGAGGAGGAGGAGGGAGAAGGAGGAGGAGAAGGAGGAGGGAGAAAAGATGAGAAAGGAGGAGGAAGAGGAGGAGCAGGAGGAGGAGAGGAGGAGGAGGAGAGAGGAGGAAGAGGGAGGAGCAGGAGGAGGAGAAGGAGGAGGAGAGGAAGAGGAGGAGGAGGAGAAGGAGGAGAAAAGGAGAGGATGAGGAGGAGGGAGAAAGGAGGAGAAAGGAGGAGGAGGAGGAGGACGAGGGAGAAAGGCGGAGGAGGAGGAGGAGGAGGAGAGAGAGGAGGAGGAGGGAGGAGGAGGAGGAGGAGAAGGAGGAGGAGGGGAGGAGGAGGAGGAGGAGGGAGAAAGGAGGAGAAAGGAGGAGGAGGAGGAGGAGGAGGAGGGAGGAGAAGGAGCAGGAGGAGGAGAAAGGAGGAGAAAGGAGGAGAAAGGAGGAGGAGGAGGAGGAGGAGGGCGGCGGCAGGCTGACCTGCCCCCCGGCCGGTCCAGGCTGGCGACGCAGGCCGTGCTGCTGCCGCTCGGCGCGGAGCCACCTGAGCGAGCGGCCGCCTCCCCGACGGCAGGGGCCGCGGGCGGGCCGCTCGGGGAGTGGCCGCTGGGGGAGCGGCCACTCGGCCACTCGAGGCTCGAACCGCGAGCCTCCAGGGTCGGGCTCGATGGGGCGCACACAGGCGTGCTAATACTGCATGTCCGCCTTGGAGGCGCGCGCCCGACCCGAGCATACGGTATACCCATCTTGTAGTAGATCGTTTCTCGAGCGGTGTGGCCGGAAAGCGCCCGCCACGACGCATATACTATGAGATTTCTTAGCGCGCGCGTCGCCCCCGGGCGGGCGACGAACACATAGTATAAGTATTTTGGGGGGACGCCGACTCGAGGCTTTTGGACCTTCGGGGGCCTTCCTCGTCGCCACGGCCGGGGGCAGCTCGAGACACGGGTGCACTTTGGAACCCGTGAGGGGTCCGAGGAGCCATTTTGAGAGATGGTGGCCCCGCCCCCGGATCTCCGAGGGTAGAAGTTGTCCAATTCCAGCGTGTTTCCTCAAGTTCGGCCTCGGGGGCGCGTTGGCGGGCCCAGGACCTTCCAGAAACGGATCTGGGACGAAGGCTACCGCCCCAACACTCCGCACCGTCGATCAGGACCTGGGGGAACCCCCCTCCCCCCCCCCTCCCGATCCCCCCCCCCCCTCGGCGCCGGCGCTGGCGCCCGCGCTGGCGGCCGCCAGCAGCGCCGACGGCGGGGACGCATGCAGCGACGATGACCAGAGAGGGCCCCAGGGGAAAGGGGGGGTGGGGGTCCAAACACCCCCCCTCCGCGCCGGCGCCGGCGCCGGCGCTGGCGGCGGCCAGCAGCGCCGACGGCGGGGACGCAGCGACGATTACGCAAGTCGCCATATCGAGCCCTCGCCCCCCAGAAGCCACCGAGAGGCCCTGAGGAAGGTCCACAAGGCTTCACACATGCTCCTCGGACGCCCCCGAGACCCTTCTGACGAGACCTCAAGAGGCATCGTCCATTAGAACTCTGAACCAAAGCCAAAACAAGGTGGCGGGAAGAGCTGAAGGCCACACCACCACCACCACCATCACAAACCACCACACCACCACCACCACCACCACCACCACCACCACTACAACCATCACAACCCACCACCACCAACCACCACCAGCACCACAAACTACAACACCACCACCACCATCACCAAAAACGCCACCACCACCAGCACCACCACAACCCACTACAACCCACCACAACCACCACCATCACCACCACAAACCACCACACCATTACCACCAGCATCACCCTTTCGCCACAACCACAACCACAACCACCACCACAACCCACCACCACCACAACCCACCACACCACCACCAACACCACAAGCACCAGCAGCAGCACCACCATCACCCACCACCCACGGCCCACCACCGACCACCCACCACACACCACCCATTACCACCACCAGCACCGCTACCAGCAGCACCACCACACCGCCAACACCACAGCCCATCACCACCACCACCACCACCACCACCACAGACCACCACGCCAGCATCACCACCACCGCCACCACCACTACCACCACAACCACCACCACCACCTCAACCCACCACCGCCACCACCACCAACCCACCACCACCACCACCACCACCACAAACCACCACCACCACAACTCACCACCACCACCACCACCACCACCACCACGACAACCCACCACCACTATCACCACCACCACCACCACCACGAACTACCAAACCACCACCACCATCGACACAACCACCACCACTACCGGCAGCACAACCCACCACCACCACCACAGCCCACCACACCACCAGAACCGCCACCGCCACCACCACCACCAGCACCACCTCCACAAACCACCGCCACCACCACCACCGCCACCACCACAAACCGTAAAACCACGACCACCACTACCACCACCGCCACCACCACCGCCACAACCCACCACCACCACCACCACCACAAATCACCACCACACCACCACCACCACCACCACCACTACCACCAGCCACCACCACAACCACCAGCATCACAACAAACCACTACACCACCACCGCCACAACCACCACCACCACCACCACCACAACCCACCACCACCACAAACCACCACCACGCCACCACCACCACCACACCATTATCACCACCACAACCACCACCACCACCACAACCACCACCACCGCCACCACCACCACAACCAACCACACACCACCGCTTCAACCACTACCACCACCACAACCACCGCGACAAACCACCACACCACCACCGCCACCACCACCACCAGAACCCAACACATCCACCACAACGACCACCACCACCACCACCACCACCACTAGAAACCACCGCACCACCACCACCACCACCCGCCTCACCACCACCACGACCACCACCACCACCACCCACTACCACCACCGCCACCACCATCACCACTACCACCTCAGAGGGGCCCCAAGAGACGCCCAAGAGGCGCCGAGGAGGCTGCACAAATGCCCTTCGTAGGGCCCCGAAAGCCCCCCTCCGACGAGACCCCAGGAGGCATCCGTTAGGACTCTGACCCAAGACCACGGCACGGTGGCGGAGCGTCGTCGTCGTCATCGTCGTCGCCGTCGTCCTCGTCGACGCTCCCCGCCGCCGCCGCCACCGCCGCAGACGCCGGCGCCAACCCAAAAAAGGAAGTCGTCGTCCCCGCCGCCGTCGCCGCCGCTAGCCGCCGCCGACGCAGGCGCCAGCCCGAGGAGAGGGAGAGAGGAGAAGAAGGGGAGGAGGGGGAGGGGGGGAGGGGAGGGGTGGGTGGGTCCGGTTCCAACCCCACCCCCCCCTCCAAGCGACCACAGAATGCGCTCTATCTGATCGCCAGATAGCTCCAGATCAGCTGGCTCTAGGCCGCTGGCGGCGTTCAACCTTGAACTTCCCGCCTCGGGGTCGCCTCCGCGTCGGCACGACGCGAACCTAGCGCACTCGGCCACTCGGCCACTGAACGCCCTTCTGCAGGAGATGTGGCCACGGTGGCTGCTTCCGAAGGGCTGCGTGGCACGATGAGGGGAGGGAGACAGCATCGGCCAGGCAACGACATGCGGCTACGGACAGACGTCCAGAGATGAGGAGGAAGAGGTGGACGAGGGGGGAGAGGGGGAGAAGGGGAAGGAGGAGTAGAGAGGGAAGAGGCGGGGAGAGATGGGAAAAGGCCGAGGGGAGAAAGCGGAGTGAGAGGGGAGGGATGGGACACGAGAGCTGTTTTACCTTTCGCGATAGCGGCCGTTACCGGCCCGGGCCGCCCCCCAGGTAACGTCACGACTCGCTTTGACCACCAAATTGTCCTTGGTCGTCGCAGGCATTCCCAGACGGAGCCGGCGCGAAACGTGACGTTACTGGCCCCACTCCCCTTCCCCCCTCGCCCACCGTTAAAGTAGGTTATCGCCTGGGAAAAAGAAAGACTCTCTCCATGAGGGGGCAGGAAGGCCATCGCACGATCGCCCGACGCTGAGGGCGACGCTTCGGACCATGTTCCAGTAGCCCCGAGACATTACGTCACGCGGCCTCGCCGTCGCGGGCAAGGGGGCAAGGCTCGAAGGCGCGCGGTCGCCACGCTGGACGCGAGCCCCCTGCCTCGAGTCCTCCTGCCCTTACGGCCATCGTGTGCTACCATCGGGAGCGCTGAATAAGGAACGAAGGCGCTTTTCTGGCCACGGCGAGCCTCGGCTCCGAGTAGGTTCCCCAGCCATGAGCGGCCCGACAACCAGCGCCCCTTCAGCGCCATGACTGCACGGTCACGACCTTATGCTTAGCGTGCCGCGGCGGCGGCCGCAGCGACACGCACTGCCCTGCGAGTGGATAGGCGTGTCGCTCCGCACCACGGGGCGGGGGCGGTGCTGGGGAAGGCTCGGACCATTGATGCTTGGAGAATGGGGCGTGGATAGCGTGTCGCGCCGAAGCGTGGTGGGCCGGAACCGGCGGAGCGACTCGCTAAGCCAACGTTCCCGGCCGTGCCTCCTGGCGCCGTGAAACATCACGACGGACGGTGCTGGGCAATTCTCTGCCTCTTGGAGGGGGGGCCTTGCCGTAACCCGGCCACGGGGCCGCCAAGCAACTGCTCAAGATGGGAGGCCGGCCCCGGGGAAAGGGCCGAGACCACCGGGTCCACGTTGTGGTGAGCGCAGATCATGACATCGGAGCTCTGAATCCATCCCGCCTCCTTTCCGCTGCCCTCTACGGAAGGCGGAGAGGGCAAGGCAAGGGGACGGGGAGGGAAAGGCAACCCTGACCGGACGTGTCACGAGTGAGAGAATACTTGCACGAGCGGATGAACGTAGACCAAAATGATCTGCTGAGGACAAGAGCTCCGAGGCCGAAAACTGTGGGCATCCCAGGCGCGAAAGCGGCAGTGCTGATCACATACATGTGCGCTGCTTGGAAACGCGTAGTCCCAAGAACAGTCACGATTCGGCGTCTCGGGTGGGAGGCTTGGCGGATGCGTTTCGACACGGCTCCGCCCTCCCCTTTCTATAAGGCTTCGGGGTGCGCGCAGACAGCCCGCCCCCCAGGTAGTCCCTGCTGGCCTCAACAGGCCCGTCTCAAGACCCCGGGCATGGCCTCTGGCGGCGGCCCTTGGGCGCTCCGCGGCCCAGGGTTGAGGTGTTGAGACCGCTCCAAGCTACACCCTGCGAAATGCTTAAGAAATCATGGGTTAAGAAATTCATAGTCTCAGAATTTGATTGCAAACCCAGAATTCCTATTGAAATCTTAGGATCTACATTGAAACATTAAGAATAATCGAGACTCTGGCCGAAAACTTCAGTTTTCTTAAGCATCGCCTAAGGTGTACGTTAGGGGCCTGTTGAGACCAGCTGCGACTGCTCGGGGAGCCTGTTGAGCTGAGCCCAGCCAGGACTACCTGTGGGGGCTGTCTGCGCGCAACCCGAAGCCTCGCCACTCCCCCCCCCTCCTTTCGTGGGGAAACCAAGAGATATCGATACTGCTACTCCCCGGACCTCTCCCAGGATGCGTGCTGACCGGAAATTCGAACCGAATTCAGCCGTGACGACGAGGCCACACAGGAGGCCCAACCAAGCGAAAACGACTGAAGGGTAGCGGTATCGATGCCTTCTCCGCCTCCCGCCCCCTCCCCACCCGCCAGTTCGCAGAAGGGCTCCCTCGGCGCACGACTGGCCCTGCAATGCCGCGTCGAGCTGCGCGTGGGGCAGCAGATCCGCTCATGGTCTTCCACCCCATTCGATGCTCCGCAGAAAGTGCGTGTGAATGCCAACGTGTGTTCGTCCACCCGAATTCCTCAGCATCACGCAGACGGTGTAATGACGGCCTTGGCAGGTGGCGTGTCATCGGCGGAGATGAACGGGGCAAACACACATTGGCCTAACACACGTCCTGAGGATCATCGACCCATGCCCATGAGTGCAGATTCATCCTAGGCTACCTACCTTCGCGCATCGCGCCCCGCGATACGCAATGACCTTCGCACTCTCGCGCCGCCCCCTGGGGAAGGCGAGTTGCCCGACACAGGCCGCGATGCGCGAAGCGCTATTATCCTGGCGATCCCACGGGTGAGCTAGCTAATGCCTGGCCAACGCCGCTCGGGTGACAGTCATCGGGCGGGGAAGGGACCGGACAACGGCAGCACCGTGTCGTCCTGTTGCAGAGAACTGCGGTCCATGCGGCCTGCACGGCAGACTAGAGGCGCGGCACAGAAGCAGCCACACTGTGGAAAGAACCCGAGGAGTCGCCCACTCAGGCCCCAACGACGGCCAGCACGCGGCCGAGAAGACCCAGAAGAAGGTTCTCAGTTTAATCCTTTTCATCCTCCTCACGATCAGCATCACCACCATCATTATCATAGTCACCATCATTCCCAAAATCACGATCCTCATCGGACTTGTCCTCGTTGCGCTTCTTCTCCTCAACCTGCTCCTGCTCCTCATCCTCCTGCGCTCGCATCCCTTCTCGTACCGCTCCCACCTTCCTTTGCTCCGAGCCAGTGTCTTGGTCCGCAGCCTCATCGGTCGGTTTCTCGGGGCCCTCCTCGCCACCACATTATTTTCTTGATCTACCTTCGCAACATCATCGCCAGAATTATGTTTTTTCTTCGTGGCGACCGCATAATTACACGAAGTCACATCGCCAACATTCCTCCGCGGTTCCCCCTCCTCCTCCTCCTCCTGGTCCTCCCCCTCCACCACTGTTCCTGCTCCTCCACCTTATTGCCCTCCCCATCCCCACTACTTCCTCGACTCCTGCCAGGTCGAATGAGTATGGCCCACTGCGACACAAAAAAGACGAGCACGATAAAGCATATTATCTCGTCGTCCTCTTCGTCTTCACACCATGCTGCCAGGAGACAAAGTGCTGTCATGGCACCTTGACATGCCGACGCCCTCCGCAAGCAACTCGCAGTGCCGCATCAGCTCCCACGCGAAGAGCGCAGGGTCAATGCC